TGGGTGAAAACACTATTCTATGTTGTCATAGCAGAATGATAACCAGGTTAATAACTTTATATTAGCTTTAAAATGTACCTTCAAATCCAGCTAAGTGTTTTCCTACTGAGATTGTATTTATTTGAATAAGTTCTTGGTAAGTCCAATAAGGTCTGATTTAGGTAAGATTAACGCCAAGGTAGTATTTAGTTTACTTTACATCTCATTACAGTTTGCAAGATGAATGTACATCGACGCTGTGAAACAAATGTGGCACCAAACTGTGGAGTGGATGCTAGAGGCATAGCTAAAGTTCTTGCAGATCTTGGAGTCACTCCAGATAAGATCACTAATAGTGGGCAGAGGAGGAAAAAGGTAATTTTACTATGGATTATCAGAAAAAAAAAAAAAGTATGACTGTATTGTAACTTTATTAGGTGGAATTCAATCCCACTGAACTGACTTGCACAATTTTTTTTTTTTTAATCAGTACAGATCTAAGACTTTGGCTTTTGTTTTATAAGTGCAAATCATCTATTCTGAACTTTGATATGAAATTTATTTTGATCTGCTGCAATGCTGCTAACCTGGAGCCTGTAAAGAACTGGAAGAATCTCCCCTTTTTAATTTGGGGAAGGAGATTTGACAGAGAAAGAGTGTATGACACAACATTTCATAAAACCGTAAATGCCTGTTTGGCTCAGAATTGGCATTGAATAATTGACTGGGAGACAGATCTCCTCCATAGTACTGTAAATGCTGATAAATGAGCAATGTGCTGATTCTCATGAAGAGGAGCTGTTTGCCAGATGACAGTTCCACAGTTATCTTCACTATTATAGGAAGAACCAGGCTGTTTTAGAAATAAAAAGCATAGGTCACCCCAAGTACATCCAAAGCCAGTGGAGTTATACTAGACTGATGACATGTATCCTGGATCAGAATGAGCCCACGCTTTGTATCTCTGTTTGTATGATTGTGACAACACAGACACATTGCTCTCTCTTACAGAAATAGGCAATTTTAACCATAATTTCTTTAAACACTGACATTTGCTTCTGTTTATTTTCCTAACTATTGCACACTGGGATCCCATGTGCACTGTTTAAAATGTTACAGAAATGTGGGAAACTTAAGAATAAATCAACTGATCTGACGTTCCTGGGCAAAGTTGTTGTCATGTTGTTACTTCATGAGTTAGTTTGCAGTGCTCGCTGATACTTGTTGTAGTTAAACGTATTTATGGGATAGGTTTGAATACAGACTCATGGTGGATATTCAAAACATTCCCAGTCACTGGATATGTTTGCTGCATTTATTTCATCTTAAGAACCTGTACTTCTTTCAATTGCCTGTTCTTTCTGTGTTTATATTATGTTCTCCTTTTTATGTGATGCCATCTACAGTATGGTTGAGGTTCTACTAGTAAAAATCCATAGGGCTAGAACACTTTCATGTTGATTCATACTTCCACTTATGAATTAAAGTTGTTGAATTAAATTTCCTTCTGGCATGGGAAGATCTCACAGCTGAGTATTCCTTTTGGAATTGTTCTTAGCTAATTGCAGGTGCAGAGACTCAACCACCAGTTCCAGGAAGTGCATCATCAGAAGAAGATAGATCGAAGTCAGCACCAACATCTCCATGTGACCAAGGTCAAACATATCTTTTTATTTCCTAACTGACATATTTTGTCACACATTTTCCTTCTTTGTGAGGGGTAAAACCTGTGAACCTTAGCCTCTGTTGAACCTAATCAATGAAATAGTTACCACAATAAATTGAAGCACTGAGAGTTTTGAACTGCAAAACCTTTTTTTAAAGGCCTGCTTCTCATTTCATTTGAATCTGTGAAGTAAAGTGGCTTTTAAAGGGAAAATTATAAAACAGGCATCTTAAAATATTTTTAAGTTTACTAGATGGGTCCTTGTCAACAAAATACCTTATGGAAGGAGTTTATATATTTTATTTTAAGAGTGAGAACATTTTAAATATTAACACAGAACTTAAGAGAACCTTTATTTATCTGAAAATCCTCTGTCTGTTAATAAGTTTTTGATATAAAATTGACTCTGTGTAATTCCATGTTGAACATTTGTGACAGTAAAAAATTCCATGGAGATAGGCTATGCTAGCATGTCCATGTGGTCTCTAGAGGCCTCATAAAACCATGTTTCTTTTCAGTGATTTTTTTCCAAAGCATAGATTTGGACAAAAATATTCTAATCTTCACTGACACCACCTATTTCACTGAGCTGAACAGCTGATTGACAGAGTGTGTATGTCAGTAGCACTTTTTGAGTCTGATTTATTTTTTTTTTTAAGATACCTCACAGACTTCTGATTTTTTATGTACAATCACGTTTGTAATCTGACAAATAAAAAATCTTTGCACATAGGAAGACAGATATTTTTGTGTCAAATTCTTTGAAAGTTGTTTACAGTTGAGAAATTTCTCAACCTTATTTTAAGGAAGACACTTCCAAAGCTTTGTTTTAATTAAGGACCATAAACCTCTGCATCCAGAACTGATTTAAATTTGTTAACCTTTTGAGTTCACAGAAATTGTTCTGATTAAATAATAATTTTTAAAATATCTGGTGTTTTGCTGTTAGAATCTAAGTTCTCTCCTAAATTTCACTTTTTTAGCTGTCCAGTAAAGTTGCTTCCAAGGCCATCAGGCATAAGTAACATGCAAAGCTTGGGGCAGATCCCAAGGTCCATTAGTCACCAAGACTCGCTGTATTTCACACTGAGAAACCTTAGGAACCATTTAGCAGATCCACACAATTGCTGCTTGAAGCAGCACTAGGAATGGTCAAATACTTTATTGGCAGGCGTCTGATAACAGCTGGAGCTGAATAAGATGCTCCATTCATGTTGACTTCAAGGACTGGGACGCCCAACTATCCTTTGAACTTTTGAAGACACAGCTCTAAAATACTTAAGCAGGAAGATGAGTAAGTGCTGCAGGAAGATAGAGATATTCAAAACAAAGTACTTCTCTGTGGTACAGGAACACCCAGAGTCACTAAAACAACTATTTGGCTACTATCCTGACTTATCTTTCAAGTTTTGGATATGTCATTCTCTTAGGTTCATTTTAAAAGGCCACCCTTCCTGTTAGAGCAGGGTTTTGGCTGATTACTGTAAGGTGGAGAAGCAGTTTGCTAAATATGTATTCTTAACCATACCTCTTAAACACAGCGTTCAGAGATGATGAATGTCCCTTCCCACAATGATACAGACTAACACAGGCTGTTTTTCTGATGGTTGTTTAAAACTAACTTTTCCTCACATTTCAACAGAAATCAAGGAGCTGGAAAACAACATTAGGAAAGCATTATCATTTGACAATCGGGGAGAGGAACACAGAGCGACAGCTACGACGTCAGCAGACAACCAGCTTAACAAACCTGGGGAGAATGGTGAAAATGGGGAGGTCAATAAAGCCCAGGGAAAGCGAATAGGCCTTGAAGAGTTCAACTTCATCAAAGTATTAGGGAAAGGCAGCTTTGGCAAGGTGGGTAACCTTTCCTTTCTTTTCTTTTCCTTTTCTTTTCCTTTTCCTTTTCTTTTCTTTTCTTTTCTTTTCTTTTCTTTTCTTTTCTTTTCTTTTCTTTTCTTTTCTTTTCTTTTCTTTTCTTTTCTTTTCTTTTCTTTTCTTTTCTTTTCTTTTCTTTTCTTTTCTTTTCTTTTCTTTTCTTTTCTTTTCTTTTCTTTTCTTTTCTTTTCTTTTCTTTCTGGTGTGCAGGGGGTTTTTGACTGTGTTGCTTTGAAAGTGTTCAGAAAGTGCTTCACCCAACAGATCAGAAATATCAGCCTCCTAATGAGCTGGCATTTTCTGTGCTTTAGCTCACTTAGCTCACTAGGGTCAAGCCTTTTGAAATGAAGTGTCAGTGTTCCATTATTTCAGGATACTGGTAATGAAGACATAGATACAGTTACATACATACTGTTCAACTAAATTTCTTTTTGTCAAGCAGGAAAAATCAGCTCAGTAATAATGCCATCGAGTTACTTCACTTTCTAGATAATACCCAGTTCAAGTTTACTTATTTCACAGAACAGTTTGTGTGCTTGTTTTTCCTCAGTGGGTGTGTTCAGAGCTGGAGGAAGCAGAACTGAAGCGTTTCCATTCTGATATGACAAGGGTTTAGACGGCTGCCCAAAATACCACATGAGCAGCAAAGATGTAACTCACCAGATACATTCCTACAGTAGAGAAATGTTGGAGATTGCAATTGCTTTATTTACAGGGTTTATAGATTTTCTTTTCACACTGCTGTGTGCTGTGGAATCAAAGAGGAGGACTGAAATGGGAGTCTGTTTCAGAAGTACACTCTTCCTTCCTTGATATACGGGAACTGCAGATGCAAGGGAACAGGGCTGAAGCAGTTCTTTTGTCTCCCTGTTTTCTAATCCTTTCTGTGAAGATTACCCTGGCTCCAAGCCAGAACTGACCTTAAAGAGAATATAGGGCCCAAGCTTTAAACAATAGTAGTAGTTAAAAATCAACAACTTGAAAGCAGCTGGAGTGGTAACTTTGGATTGTATACTAAGTTCATCAGACTCAAATCTCACAAACAAAAGTGAGAGATAAAAGTGGGAAATAAATTTCTGTTCTGTATCAACTTCCTTCCTTGTTTACTTTTTGAGACTTCTCTAATAGGTACTTATTAAGATAATTAACAAAATAGATACCTTCTCTTTCATATTGAAAGAATACCAGAGGTATATTTTTCTAAAATTACAGTACTTTACTTTTTATTTTATAAGCAGCAGCTTCATTCAGGAAAACATGTAACTGTCTTTAAATTTCCAGTGCAGTTAAGCTCATATGCAACCCTGCATTTATGGCATCTTTGTTCATATGTAAACAGAATTTCTCTTTCTTTTAGGTAATGTTAGCTGAGCTGAAAGGTAAAGATGAAGTATATGCAGTGAAAGTCTTGAAGAAAGATGTCATACTTCAAGATGATGACGTAGACTGTACAATGACAGAGAAAAGAATTCTTGCATTAGCACGGAAACATCCATATTTAACACAACTTTACTGCTGCTTCCAGACAAAGGTAAGCTACGTGAGCCTTTTACCAGTTTGTGCCCAAGGAACAATATTCACTATTAGCAGACTGAAAGACAACAACATAAAAAGCAAAGCAATATTTTGAAAATATTTCTGTTAAGTTTTTGGCATTTCAGTAGTATTGTGCAGGAGTACTGGCTGCTGTTAAGTAGCCTAAGTACTATTACCATCTAAGTACCAGGAGATGGCAGTAAATGAGTTAAAAAATAATAAAGCCACATGCATAAAATACACAAAAATTATTAAGGGGCCATTTTCTATATTTCTTTGGTACATTAGTAGGGTGCATCATTTATTGAATTAAGTACAAACGTTTTTAACATCCAGTATTCGGTGTAGAAATTGTGAAACAATCTTGTTAGAAATGGGGTTATGGCAGAACTCATCTTTTCAGTTTTCTTGTGCTGTGTAGTATAAAAAAATGTTCAAAAAAGAAAGGAAATGGGTATAACGCTTATCAAGTTCCTATAGTGTTAATGACACGTGTGTGCTTGAGGAGCAAGAAGGAAGGCAGAGAGAGCTGATCATGAGAGCCTGTTACCGTGGTGTGTTTCTTGTTGGTAATTTTTCATACAGAATTCCTCTTCATAGTTTTGGATTTACTGCTTATATAAAAGCGAACGTTTGGATGGTGTAGCTCAGTCTATATCCGGTTAGTCTAAGTGCTTGATACCAGTTGTGTTGGCAGAATATTTCTGGTTTCTTTTTTTGGTTTCTTATTTCTCTCTTGTCATTCAGCTGAGGTGAATTTGAAACTAGGTGATCTTTAACATCTCTTCCAACCAAAGGCATTCTATGATTTTATGAAGTAAAAATACCATTTAATTCAATGGAATAAATTTTTGACCTATAAGGAATAGGTTTAGATATTTGTGTGTTTTAAATGAAACACTTGAAAAGCAATCAACTTCCTTGAAACTGGTGGGGTTGGTGTTTTATTTTTTTTCAGTAAGACATTACATTTGGGTATTTGAGTCAATTTAATGGAAAGATTAAATGAATAATTAAATTACTGTATTGAACAAAAGAGTTGCTAATGGTGTGTATGAGTGTATGTGTGTGCACATGTAAATACATATATATTCACGTACTGTGAATTCACATACACACGTAACCAAAACTGTGTATGTCACAAGTAAGCAATTGCAATACTTATGTGTGTAGAATTACAGAAAAGCTGTGACTAAAAGATCTAGCAGGATTGTCAGGAAAGATAAATAAGGCAGTGGGAAAACCGTTGAAAAACAGCTAGTAGGATCAAGATTATAATGGTTCAAATACGGAAATAGCAAACATTTAATATGTTTATACAGTTCTTAAAATAGTGAAAATGCATTAGCATTTTATAGGCTTTGAAGTTGACACAAAAAACAGTGGCCCAGGAAGGTGTGTATACAATTTATGTCCGTGGAGAATGTTTCATACATTCAGTCTTTTATTATATGTGTGAACATACTCTTAAATTGTTCTAGTGTATTATTTTTAGGTTTGTAACTAGAACTAAGCATATTATTTCAGATGAAGGAAGCGATAACAAGATTATACTGGGGTGAGGTGAACAGAGAGGGACCTTTATGACTAAGTGCACTCCCTGAAGTGTAAATAAATGTATCAGCAGCCTGATGGGAATCATGTGGCAGAACATAGGTAAAGATCAGTTTTACGTTAAGTGAATTAACACCAAAGATTCTCCTGCTACTCCACTGATTTCCTGGACATTCCTTTCCTTTTGTATTTTTGATCTGTTCTCCCCTCTTTTGTATCATGCTTTTATGCTTTCCTCCCTGCTCTTCAAAGCCATTCATCAAAGATATTCAGAAATTCTTCTCACCATCTTCTCTGTTCCCAGGTCTCTTAACATAGAGAAACTGTACTTTGTGGATTTTCTTGAACTCAGCAGAACTGATACTTAAGTGTTTCATAGTTTACAAGTCATAGGCGAGTGTCTCTTATCAAACAACCAAAACTACACCTAGTGATACCCAATCAAATTAAAAGCCCACACTTGAGAAATTGAAGGATTTTTTTGAGCATGGCCTCTGAACAATTTACAAAGAACTCTTTATAAAGAAACAAAACAACCAAACACCAAAACATATGTAAAAGCAAAAGCAGTACATCTGCTAAAACTTTAAATTATATATGAATGACAACAAATGAAAATGTACCAAGTAAATAAGTCACTGAAGGATTTGCTCGGGTTCAGTGGAAAAACAGGTAGAAAAACTTGCTTGAACAAACATAATCTGTGGTTAAAATAGCTTTACCGAGGCAAAGGCTCTTGTACAATGGGTTTTAAAATGTGTTTCACAGTAGTGTGTAGTTACTTATGTTGTGATGTTTTGCCATGCCATGGCTGCTTTGCTTTGCAGAACTGGTCCCTGTAGTGATCGGGCTGGAATTAAATTTTACTTTTCAAGTAGAGCGTATTTATTGTATACAGCCTGACTTAATGGGAAGATTGACTCAGTATTCATTGTCAGAGCATTCAGAGATTGTCTTTGTTCCTCTTCCACAAAAATGCAAATGTAAAAGTTTGACTTTATATACTGCAGTGTTTTCCTTCAGTAATCAACTGAAGACACTGTGGAAAAGTTGCTTAATATGCTTCTTACAGTAAGTATGCTTCAGTATATTTATTTTTTACATGGAGTGTAAACATTAGTGTCATTTCCTATATGATACTATTATTATCACAACAAGTAAGGGATCATATTTTAAATTATTTTGGAATCGTGCCCAAAAATTGGCTAAAATCAGCATACCTTATACACTAATGTGTTCTTAGCCCTATATATCTGAATTTCTTCCAGCAATCCCATATAACTTCCTTATTTTAAAGAAATACTCTTGAGACTGACTTTTCTCATCTTTCTGCTTAATCCAAAAGCAAACTTTGACCAAACCAATTTGCTTTAAGCCTATCGAAAAATGATCCCTGCCCAAATCAACATTCTGTAATAAAATTTCATATATTCAAATGTTGTATTTCAGGAATAGTTTTGTATTCTTTTGCAGTCTGATCTGGAAGTTAAGAGAGATGGGTTCTGTTCCAAAGCTGGAGATAAACTATGCAAAGCTGATACGGAATATTTTATATGCAATAGTTTGAAGTATGAACTGCAGAACCCTGTCCTACACATCAGAAAGAATGTAAAATCTACAGGCAGGACCTCAGCTGATGAATGGTTTTATGTGGAAGGATCTTAGCTATTTTAGTGCAGCATATCTTATAGAATTGTGTCACAGTTGGACAGTGGTTTTCAACACTCATACTATGGCAGCATTTCCCTTCTTGCTTTGCCAGAATATGGTCATTGCATCTATCACTGTATTCAGAAGTTTGAGTTGTGTTTTGCATGTGGTCTGTCAGCAGGAATAGAAATGATGAATAGTGTGTTCTGTATTTGGCACTCCCATAGTGCAACTTGCCCAAGGCCTGGCATACAGGGTGCAGCATCTTTGTAACAACTGACCTCTGCTTATCATCCCCTCTGATTTATTCAGGACTTCATTGTGTCATTTATTGAGAAAACGTTAGGAGTTTTCAGGACTACTGCTGTTTTCGTTCTGTTTTCACTCTTCCTCCTATCTCCTCTTTCTCTTCTTCTCTGTGTCGGTCCCTTGATTTTTCAGTAAGGAGAGTCTTACCTGACAGTAATACTGACACTGCCCGGTTCCCCTCTTCAGGGTCCTCTTCACTCCAACCTCATACCATGCTTCAGGGATCAACTATGGAACAGTATCAACGTTAGAATTTATTGATAATGCTTCAGTCAAGTGGTTGTCTAAGGGGGGTTAAGTGTTTCTATAGCTATTTTCTTTAAAGACATTCTTGTATTTATGATATTCATTCACATTTGGAAGTTTTGGAAGTGTGAGAATTAAAGTGTTTTTTAATGGGAAGTTCTAGAAAATATAACTAGCTTCACTTTATTCCTCCTACTCCCCATCATAGTAATTAAAATTTTCTAAACCTTTACCTTATAAGATGCATACACGTATATGTACACAACCTATAATTTACAGTGAATTATCCTAATAAATACTTAAGAAATAAAATGGTTTTAAAATAATTTAAGGCAGTGAAAGCTTTATTATGATAATGCATTATAAAATTAGAAGACTAGGAAGCTACTGCTTTTAACATTTGCCATTTGATTTTTTTATCAAACTTTATGAAATTAGATAAATTTGAAAATAGTACTCTTCTCTTTTCATAGCACTATGTTCAACAGACATAGTAGAGAATATTAGTGCAGAAAAATGTTCCTTTTGAATTACAGAGTTGCAGAACTTATAAAGGACCCTTAATCAATATTATAGCTATTTCTGTTAGAGGAAACAAGTAGTTAAATAAGGGGTAGAGAAAGTGAGTTACTACAGGTAAATAGTTAGACTTATACCACCCATAAAACAATCTTCTTCCGTACAATGTTAAAATCAGCCTATCGATCCATAGCACAGCTCCTGGGCTCACATGCAAAGCCATTCACTTTTTTCCTGTGTTCTGGTGTAGGAAAGTAGAGATCAGCCATATAACAGTGGCAAAACTGAAGGACTTCTAGGAAGAAGCTCTATGACCCTACTATGACCATGTTGATCTCTTAACTTTTACATTCTACCTAATGGCTTACTACTGGTTTATCCTTGATTGTGAGTACTGTGGTTCAGGTATTATTCCTTTCTGCTGTTTGCACTGTACCTAGCACCCTCTGAGTGATGCTAGAAGTCTGGTTTTATAAAGCTGAAATTTAGGATATTTTATTTCCATTTCAGCTGTCATGATGTACCTTTGTTACTCTGACAAATCTCTGAACCTCTTTATGCATCAGATCCATCTAAAAACCAAGAGTAATCAGTCTTCCTTCTACTATGAGTTGTATTTAAATGTTTCCAGGGAGGGTTTGGAAGTCTAGTAGAAAGCTGTAAAATTAAGTTCCATTTTTAAAGTGACTTGTTTCATTTGGGTAAAAAAATGTAAAA